TAAAGGCGCTCGAGGACGAGGTGCGTCTAGCAACGCGGCATATGAGCGATACGACGACGTCGCAAGAGGAGCTCGAGCAGCTCATGCAGCGCATCAAGACCGCCCTGCGTCCGATCATCAAGAGTCAATTAAACTCCCAAGACTCGTCATGCTCGAGCGACATGCTCGCTAAGATGATCAATTCCGAACTGCAATTTATCAAAGAGGATTTAGACCTGGATACCAGTAGAGGAAACGGCTCCTTTAACACTATTGGTGGCACGGGAAATTTTTGGACTCGACGTTTCTCTGAAACTGACAGGTAATTACATGTAGAGCGAGGTTAGATTGGCTGTAAATAACTTTAAATACATTGTGACCTAATAAAAACATTTGTTTTATAACTTGAAATTATTTTAGGGGAGAAAAATGTGTGAAACACAATATGAAGATTAGTAGGGATTGGATGACTTCCCCAGTCAGAAATCGCCGCAGTCTGGAAGCCAGCCGCGGGTGAACTTGCCTGCGCCAACGCTCGCCCCAGCGCAACGCCAATACGTATTACTCCCTAATAATCTCGGGTGCTAGCGCTCGCCATACGTATTACTCCCTAATAATCTCGGGTGCTAGCGCTCGCCATACGTATTACTTCCTAATAATCTCGAGTGCTTGCACCATCATAGGGACTTTATTAGGCGAAGAAAAATTTGGCCAAAACCAATATTATTCAGGGTAAGACTGGATCCAAATTTTGAACTTTGCATACAATACCACTGTAGAATATAAGTATCTAACACTCGCATCTTGCATAGAGAACTCGTAGGTCAAATAATTATTTAAACCTCTCTGCTGAGTTTGAAGAAGTTCTTACTTCTTATTAGTGTATTTCTGGATAGTAATTTATAAGTACACGGTTGCCATCATTACAGCTTAAAAATTTTGTTCCTCGAAGTCAGTACTGTAATTGTTCTTTGTCGATGCATCATAAAATTCCTAAATCAAAAACACTTATTTTTAGGACGTCTACAAGTGCGACTTCTTGCAAGTGGAAGTTGCTGATCCCAGCGAGTGTGACATTCCCCCTGAACTAGCCTCGTCTGAGGACCCTAGTTCCAACTGCGACAGCACGCCGGCGATCGAGCGTCTGCCCTGCGAGAGTTTCGACGCTGTAGTGTTCTCTCTGGTGCTTGACTACATCCCGTGTCCCGAAATGCGGCTCGAGTGCTGTCGGAAGGCCAGTGAACTCTTGAAACCTGGCGGTTTATTGCTGATGGTGACGCCAGCTTGCACTTTCGGCATGCTAAACCCTCTTCTTTTCAAATATTTCCACTGGCATCTCGCCAAACTGGGATTTAAGAAACATGTCAGCAGAAAAACCTCCAGCATTAGGATATTTTCTTACCGGAAAGCATTTTATCCATTTGTTGCTGAAGCAGGTGCAGACACAATAAAAGAAGAAGCTGCGGAGATTCGAGACGTATTAAAAAGACTGAACTACACCAACGATATTGATAAAGTAGATTTGACTAAAGGTTTGTATTTCTACCGAGTGTCATACTCGTTCATACTCGGAGCGTCAACGATGCTATTAGGGAGGCTTTATCTATCATTATATAGTATCAACGATGCTATCAGGGAGGCTATCAGGCAATACTTTCCCCATACCATCAGCATTTACTCTCGACAATACTTTTCCCCATACCATCTGCAATTACTCTCCACAATACTTTCCCTACGCCACATGCAATTACAATCCACAAGACTTTCCCCATACCACCTGCAATTACTCCCCCACAATACTTTCCCCACACCACATACAATTACGATCCACAAGACTTTCCCCACACCACCTGTAATTATTCTCCACAATACTTTCCCCATAGCACCTGCAATTACTCTCCACAATACTTTCCCAATATCACAATACCTACTTTCCCCATATGTTCATTTAACACGCACTTTCAAAATTTTTGAAAATTAATTGTGTTGACTTGATTAATTTAAATTGCTTTTAGTTTTCAAATAAGGTGGTGCTAACTCATTTTTCCTAAGACCAACATCAGTTGATGTGAAGAAGTAACGTAGGGCAAGGCAAAAACCTGTATCAAAACAAAGATTACATGATATTTAGCCGTTAATATATTGTAAATTTGCAAAAACTTTCCTGCCTCAATTATTAATTCATTCTACGACGTACTGAAAATTAGCTTGTATTAACCCTAGATACGCAACATTTATTTACAACTTAAATTGCGAAATTCGTGATCTCGCCGAAGAAAAAAATCGGACGGCCGGTGTGAATAAACTTTCTATGTTAACACTATTCGCGGAAATTAAAAAAAATGAACTATTTTGAAAAAATTCAATCTCTGGTAATATTATGATTGAAAGTGTCTTGGAACAGTCAATCATTCGTCTGTGAGCTCTATTGAAATGAGGGAATAGTCAATAGTCATGTGGGTGGAGTAACTTGTATTGTAAGCCACCGTCAGCGGTCAGCATACCACTGACGGTGGCGTTGAGTTTAAGTAAAGCAAATCAGTGGTTAGGAATACTTGGCAGTGCAGCAAGAGTGAGAGTAAGTAAATATGATGTTCTTAGAGAGGTATGGAAAAGTGTGGCAGTTCCTGGGATTATGTATGGTCCACAGTATGGAATGGGCGTTATTGCATGGAATGATTGTGAATTGGATAAATTGGAGGTGGTACAGAATAGGATAGCTAGACTGGCTCTTGGAGCCCCTAGATGGACTGCTCACTGCAGTGGAGGCTTTAAGAGGAGATATGGGTTGGAGTACGTTTAGAGAGAGAAGAATGAAAGCAGCATTGAGATATAAAGTACGACTGGAAAGAATGGATGATGCACGTTGGGCACGCAAAATGTACCTGTGGAATTTGAGAGTGAGCAAATGGGAACGAAAGTGTCATGCAATAGTACGAAAGTGTGAGCTACATGAAACATTGGCTTGCCCTGGGAGGCTGGGAATAATAGACCAAGAGGGGAATGGATGATAACTGTACAGGGTGCAACAGGTATTGAATGGGATGTCAATGAATGGAAGAAAGTCATAGAAAAGAGAGTGAAATTGTGTGGTCTAAGAGTAGCTATGGAAGCAAGGAATGGAAAGAAAGGACAGCCTGAGTCCTGAGATTGTACAAGATGAAAGAAATGCCAAGATATGAATATATATATGATGGAAGTAGAGGACTAGAGGTGGAGACTTAATGTTCTGTGTGAGAGCAAATGCGTTGGGTGTGAATGCACGGACATACAGGTGGAATGATAGAAGAGAAGACATTTGCTTTATGTGTGACAGAGGTGAGAGGGAAACTGTGGAACATCTGATGATGGAGTGTGATGCATATGAGCAGGTCTGAATCCATTCATCTCCTGTTCGCTCATACATCACACCATCACCCTCATTCCTCTCATCCAGTATCACTCTCATCATTTCCAGTCTCTCCTGCTCAGCAGGAGAGACTTAATGCTCAGCAGGAGAGACTGGAAATGATGAGAGTGATACTGAATGAGAGGAATGAGGGTGATGGTGTGATGTATGAGCAAACAGGAGATGAAAATTGGGACTGTCAAAGGGGGTAACTGCTGCTATGATTGAGAGTGGAAAGGCCTGACCCTGAAATCCTTTCTCTCAGAGTCACCACGCCCCAAATCCAAATACGCCTTTGCTGGACCTGTGGGCTTAGAACTGACATTGAGTTGCTCTGTGATGATCAGCCGAAGCGTCGATTTTATGGCTTCATCTATCTGATTTAAAGTGGTTGCACTATTTCTACTCCGATAAATAGCGATTCTCGATTAATCGATTTTAGTATATTATAGAGATATATAAAAATATTGATCAATGATCACTATTATCGAAGCTGAGCCAAAGTGTCAAATTGTGAATTTGTGAAGATGACTTTCAAACCTATTGCTCAAGTCAATGCAAGCAATGAACACAAAACTATATGTTCATTATATATAATCTGTAATTGTTTCATTGAAAATGTGTCAGTGGCTTGTGTATTCATTTAATACCTATTCATTTATATGTACCTAGTTGCAATTGCATCCATTGCATTTGCAATGAAATGATTGCATCATTTGCATGTAAAGTTTTACAGTAAAGCCAGTAAAGCAGTGACTACCTAGGAGGCTACAATAATAATCATAGTGGCAAACCAGAGCTTTTTTGGAATCAGTTCATTTTTATTTTCCTCAAAAACTCAAGATTTAAATCAATTTCTTAAGTATGATAATGCTGGTATCCATGATACTTTACTGGACTACCCTACTTATAGGACTCAAAAATGAACTTGAGGGAAAGTCTAAAAAATTCTCTGCTTTGGCGTTGCTACATAGATGATAGGTCACTACTCACTAGGAGTGCCCTCATTAGGTTCCAACAATGAGAGTGATGCTGACTCAGTCCTCACAGCTGGGAGCTGGCCAGAGCCTCTGGCCAGCTGTGAGGACTGAGTCACAGTGTGAGGAGTGAGGACTGAGTCACAGTGAGGACTGAGAGTGAGACCTGAGTGACTCAGTCCTCAGTGTGAGGACTGAGTAGTTTATTTTGTATTTTATAGTTTGTATTTTGTAGTTTATGCTTATGTATGATAATAGAGATACTTTGAAGCTTCTTAATGTTAACAGCATTGAAATCCATGTGGAAATATGAAACAAAAGTTGTGAAAAAGCTAGGATCTTTTCTCATTAATGGTCAAGAGTGATCCTGACTGATCCCCAAGATTGGAGCAGGAATCAGCCTCAGGCACTGATTAATTGGGTCCTTTAGGACCCAAATCCCAATTAATGCAACATCCTGGCTACCTGTTGTGCTATTATGACCAAGTGCTTTGGCCCTGGTTGCAACCTTACTCCCTAACTTAGAGGATCCTCCTGCCTATACTTAGGGACTGAACAATCAAGTGTAGAAGTGAAAACAGCATTATAAATCAGATAAAATGAATTTCTTCTTAATTGTGAAATTATTTCTTAATTTCACTAAGTGCTAGAATGGATTCTCTCATTTTGCTCATTCTCCATCATGCAATTGACCAACATTTTTAAATTTTCTAAAATTTTTCTCTACAGATATAATAGGGCTCTATAATTTCTATTCAGTATCAGAATCTCAGGATGGTTTTCTTCTGTCAAAAATCATCATTTACACAGGAGGTCAGTATTATGAACATAATCTTGCAATAATATGTGTTGTTACCAATAAGATGAATGCATTCCCTTGGATCAATTATATATAAATGATGTAGAGACAAAGAAAAAAATTTAGGTTATTGGTTGTTGATTGCTTTAGAAAATATTCAGTACAAGTGGACATTATTTTTGAGTATTTGTTACTCATCTTTGATTTATCTTAGAAAAAAAGGTACCCATGTGACAATGGGAAAATTATCTCCATTATTAGTCAGTTAAACCTAATCTTCCGTTTTACATATATTTTTTAATGATTCAATTATACATCACAATACCATGTGTAGAACTGTATGTGCTAGCTAAGTAGGCATCTCTTTTTTTTTTCTATGCAAGGAATTTAAAAAAGACAAATTTAAGGAGATTGGCAACTTTTTGCCATCAAGATTGTAGCTGCTGTGTAGATGTTAAGTGCTCATTCCTTTGTTATTGTCAGATTGTGGAATTATAAAATGTGATTCAAATATGCTTTTTTGTAGACATGATGAATTTAGAATAGCAAAAACCTTAATTATCAAAAACTGCTAACAAACAAAAAGAAGTATGCAAATTATGGGGTTGTGTTCTGCAGTACAGGACTCAGGTGGTGTCCTGCAAACCAGCCATCCTACAGCTGTCCAAATGTCAGCCACCTGTTGCCAGCAACAAGGGCAGCAGTGGGGCCCTCAAGGACTTGTATTGTCATGAAGTGGTGTTTGAAGACACAGTCTTTTTTCCTGAAGGTGGAGGGCAGGTGATATATATATATATATCTACTATGTACTGAAAAATATTTATAAAATGAAATGTAAAGATAGTCAAATAGATTTATTGATTATACCATAACTTCATTTTTGATTTCATTTCATCTCCATGGCTCCATTGCTCTGATTTATTCAATCTTTGCAGGAGGCATTAAGTAACCAGCAAAATTTGCCAAATGATGGTTCTTCTGTCATCATTTGTAACAAATAATTCAATTTATTAAATTTTTATAATTTCAAATGTGAGCAAACTGTGTTGAATCTCATTTGTTGATATATTACATGTTTTTAGTCATTTGTTACCTAGTAGATGTTTAGTTGATAGATTACATGTTTTTTTAGTTTTGCCTAATGTTTTTCAGGGGATATAAAATATTCATCAGTGAACTGCAAGTCTTTATTAAACATTGCAGCCTGATGACCGTGGTATGGTATGCTTAGCAGCGTGCAGTGAGTGTGGGCCAGGGAACAGTGCAGAGCAGCAGGACTTGGAGCCAACTGGCTCTGCTCTAAACATTAGTTCACTGTTGTCTTCAAACCCAGTGTCTGGTGAATAATTCTCAATGCCCTGAAGAGTATTTCATTTTGAAAATTGTGTTGTAGTTTGATGAATTTATGTCATTCTAGCATAATTTTAAATGTACCAGTATTTGATATATCGATAGCAAAAATTAAAATTTATACCCAAGAATGAACTCAAAACAGTAACATACTCAATTGCAATGTACAATTCTGTTCTGATTATGTTACTGGAAATAAGTGAAACATCAGCATCTGAAAATATTATTTTGTTGAGAAAGAAATAAATTAGTTGGTTTGAACTGCAATGAGAAACCCTTGTTAAAGAAACCTGTAAATTGTAAAAAATATAACTCAGTACTCACAGCAGCGAGTGACAGAGAGCGCATCTTCTCGTTGACGAAAACTTGAGGTCACGGACGGACAGACAGACGGACATGGCAAGCACAATAGTGCATTTTTTCCATAAATGAGAAAATGCACTAAAAACAGTGAAGTGATGTCTGTGAATAGTTAATTGAAAGATGTTATAAAAATGTTTTTACAAATGATAGCTGGTTTCTAGAGATGTACATATGCTGCGTGACAGTTCCTTACTTCATAGACAATATCCAGTTTCCTATTGAAAAGTAGAATTAAATGAAATGATTGAACTGATAAATTAAAGACTGAATTTTTAATGTTATTAATTTCTGATGGTTTGTACTGCAGAGGTGAAGAAGCAGAGGTGCCCACACTCTGCTACTGTGCTGCGCGTCATCCGCAGAGGTTGTGAGGCGGTTCACTACCTTGATGCGGCTTTTCCTGCTGGTTCGTATGTATTTAACAATCATCCACTGTATTTTATTAGGAATTTATTGCTTCATTATTAATAGCATGAATTTTTTAATCAGCTTTATTACTACCTCAATGAATTCCAGCTGAATTGACATACCTACCTTACTGATTTTGAAATCGCTTGATTGCTCCTGAAGTATACGTATATTCCATTTAAAAGTTGAGTGCTGAAATTGAATGCATTATTTTTGGGATTTAGAGTATTTAACCAAGAGTTGGCTTTAAGTATATTTTGGTTCTGGTGCAAAAATATTGCAACAATTATAGACTTCTTTAATACAAGTTTTTCAGCATCATGTGAATTTGGCTGCAAAATTTAAAATAAATTCAAGTTCTTAAACCCTGGTTTTGAAGATATCCCTTTGTTGCATCAATTGTTAGAATTTGCATTAGACTGGATTGGATGAGCTTGCTCTATATATTCTTAGTAAAGACTATTCAATTAAGTTGAAGTTATTGTTGACCTTTGCAGGAGCTGCAGTGTTGCAGACGTTAGACTGGCAACGACGAGAGGATCACATGCAGCAGCACTCAGCGCAACACCTCCTATCTGGTGTGTGTTGCAGTGGTTCTTGAGAAAATTTAAGTTATTGGCTACTAGTGAATATGTGAAGCTTTGAAGTAAACAAACAGGGAAACATGCAAAGAAACATGTAATTGATGTCTTGTGTGAATAAATAAAGCTTTGAAGTCCACCATCAGCGAAACATGTGATGTACCATCTGGAAGCAGAGATTTGTAGCATCTGGTGGTTGTATAGTGTACCATCATGCAGCTGTTTGATGCGCCACCTTTGAGTTAGATAGTGTAGCATCTGCCAGCTGTTTAATGCTCCATCTAGCAACTGAATAGTGTACCATTAATTAAATATTTAGTACACCTCTTTGCAGCTGTGTAGTGGCAGCTGTCTTGTGTACACTCTGACAGCTGAATTCTCTTGCATTGCATAAGCTGTGGCAGAGCGTGTATTTGGTGCCCGGACCACCAGCTGGTGTCTGGGTCCGGACACCAGCAGTGTGGAGCTGGCAACAAACAGCTTGTCGCCAGCTCAGCAGCACCAGCTCGAAGACAAGATAAACGCCATCGTGGCTGCTGCCCTGCCAGTCACCGTCACCGAGTACGGGGAGAACGACATGCTTCCCCCGGAGGTGGGGTATCCTTAGAAGGCGGGGCTATTGTTGTAGGGCTTAAATAGAAGGCGGGGCTATTGTTGTAGGGCTTACATAGAAGGAAAGGATATTGTTGTGGGGTTTTCCTAGGAGTAAGGTTATTGTCATGGGGCATCCCTAGGAAGTGGGGCTATTGTTGTGGGGTTTTCCTAGGAGTAGAGGTTATTGTCGTGGGGCATCCTCAGAAGGCGGGGGTATTGTGGGGCTTTCCTAGTAGTAGAGGTCATTGTCATGGGGCATCCCTCGGAGGCGGGGCTATTGTGGGGTTTTCCTAGGAGTAAGGTTATTGTCGTGGGGCATCTCCAGGAGGCGGGGCTATTGTTGTGGGGCTTCCTTAGGAGGTAGGGTTATTTCTTTGAGGGTCCTCAAATGGTTGGGGCTAAGGGATCTGAGCATCACCAAACGGGGTGACGTCCGTCGACTGCCAAAAATATTTATGAGTTCGTAACTCCGTCAGCCAACAACAAATAACAGCCAGGCGCCATACTTTCAAAAAAAGTTAGGAGATCGTAAGTTCATCAGCCAATCATTGACGGCCTTTCAAGTAAAATCCACCAATCATAGACAAGAAAATAGAGCGTAAGTACTTACGTTCACTTAGCGAGTTTTGAAGGTATGACCCCAGTTCCACCAACCACATAAAAATTGGCCGCTTCTCATACCGGGGCTGCAACATCTAGGTAGTTCTAATGGTACGGCCCCAGGTCAGTTAAAAAATAGCAAAAATTGAGTTACTTCTTTTGCCACTGGTTTAATGACACTTGTAATGTGCGAGCCGAAGACCTCAGGGTTTAAAATATATTTTTTTTTTAAGTGGATCATCGTATAAAAAAACTTTGTCGTTTACGAGTGTGTAAAACTCACTTTCATGCACGTGCAGACCAGGTTTGTGACTCTCAGTCCTAAGCAGGTGCAGACCAGAGGTTTGACGTCAGAACACACGTGTGTGACTCGCACTTCTCGGCAGGTACAGACCAGAGGTCTGACGTCAGAACACACGTGTATGACTCTCACTTCTCGGCAGGTACAGACCAGAGGTCTGACGTCAGAACACACGTGTATGACTCCCACTCATCGGCAGGTACAGACCAGAGGTCTGACGTCAGACCACACGTGTGTGACTCTCACTTCTCGGCAGGTACAGACCAGAGGTCTGCCAGCTGACCACGTAGGTGTGGTGCGCGTGGTCAGCATTGGAGGTGTGGACGCGAACCTCTGCTGCGGTACACACGTCAGCAACACTGCGCAGCTGCAGACAGTGAAGCTGCTTACAGCTGCGCCCGGCAAGCGCAGCGGCAGCACCTGCGTCACCTTCGTCGCTGGCACCCGCCTCAGGCGGTGAGGGGCATCTCTTATGATTTTTAAATTTCTCAGTTCCATTTCCAACAAATCAGATTTTGTTTTTTTTTTGTATTGTTTGTTTATGTTTTTTTTTGTTGCTTGTTGTTTTTTTTTTTGTTTTTTTTTTTCGTTTTTGAAGAGATTTATTTGTGGCTAGTGAAATGAAGTCAATAATATAGTTTGTAAAAAATGGGGGAGGCACAAACATTAAAAAATAAGTTTTTAGAAGTGTGTTAATAATTATAATTCGAGGAAGTTCACCGATGATTAAGTTTTAAAAGTTGATCAAACGAATAACCAAGAACAGCGTAACGGAGATTACGGTTTCTGGTGAGCATAGTGGGCTGGGCCCGTCATTTGAGACCCATATGTAAGGACTAACCTTTCTTTTTTCCTAAAGACCTTATAACCAAGGGCTAACCTTTCCTTTTCCTAAAGACCTTATAACCAAGGGCTAACCTTTCCTTTTCCTACAGACCTTATAACCAAGGGCTAACCTTTCGCATAAGCTTGAAAAGCATTGCTATTGTCATTAGATGTTCGCCGCAACTTTCAATCTTATCAAAATGTTCGAGCTTAACGGCTAAACGTCGGTAACTTTCTTGTAAAAATACACTGTCCTTGATAAAATTTCAATCGCTAGTTTTTATTGCACTTGGATTCGCTTAATTAAAACACCAGTTAACGCGGATACAACTTAATTTTATTTCAGCAAGGAACAGTTTAAAAATATAACTCAGTACTCACTGCAGTGAGTGACAGAGAACGCATTTTCTCGTCTACGAAAACGTTGAAGTCACGGACAGACATGACTAGCACAATAGCGCCTTTTTCCATGAATAAGAAAATGCGCTAACAAGAGGCACGTTTGATAAGTCTTTTTGAACAGTTTGATAAGTCTTTCACGGCACCGTCACAAAATCTAGCAACTACAAGACCTCTCGTGAGTCGGCAAAGCGGAGCGAGCTCAGGTGCTACCTCACAGTAGGACTGGCAGGACACGACTGACTCCCCGACTCCTAGCCGCTCAGATCTGATCTGTCACGATAGTCCAGGCACTCGAATGTTACTCAGACGACTACGCCAGATGTGGCTGTACAATTAAAATTTCCGTATACACGTTCTTAAATGCACATGAAATCATTAATAGAATGCTGGTACTAAATGATTGATAACGGTGAACGATCACCATCGTTAACACTGGATTCTCTAATGATGGACTCTTTTTGACCTTATGTGAGATTTGCCTTTGTTTTATTTCAATAGGGAATTGTTATCGTAGTTATGTATTTAATCAATTCTAGCTATTGATTAATGGTGAAAGATCTTTTCGTTGCGATTCTATCGTTCTGAATGAAAACGTCTCGTCTATTAATACGGTTCTTCTTGGATATATCCCCGTCTTGATCTATTCCTATCAAGTTTCAATAACATGCAATCTTCGTTGAGTTCTTTTCTGCCTACTAGCATGTTAGTTTTCTAGCAAATTTTCACGTTTTATCAATCCTAAATTAAAGTGAGTACTTTAATTCACTGACATTGATTGTCTCGGAGAAATTCCTGCATTTACCATCGGCATACAGTCATGTCCGGTTTCTTCATTGCAGGTACATGCGTGACTGCCACTCAATATTGCGCGCACTCAACCCTCTCCTCAACACGGGGCCTGAAGGCTACGTCGAGACTGTGTCCAAAATACAGAGCGATCTGAAGACGTCCGAAAAGACGGCCAGGGAGACGTTGAGAGACCTGGCCGTGGTGGAGGCTAAATTGCTGCTGCAGAACGTAGAGGTCGCACGAGCACAACACAGCGGCACTGGCAGAGTTATAAGCCTCAGGCTCGCCGGTTATGCCGATAATAAAACCAAAGGAAACTTAGGACATCGGGAAAAAAAGATGGAGGGTCACTTAGATGCAACGGAGAACGGAAGTTCCAGAAGAGCAGTGCACAATGATGAAAATTTACTAGATAGTGCAGTAGTCACTCAAAGTTCTAAAATACCATCAGAAAAGACCAACGGAACAGGAAATGGACCTCCAGTTATCGGGACGAGTGTCGGGGACGAAGATTCGCTTGTGGTGCTAGTCTCGTACCACCGCAGGCTGGCTGACCTCGACTACCTCAGCGCCATGGCCGCCCAAGCTGACGTGCAGGTTCGGTATGGTGACGTGCAGGTTCGGTATGGTGACGTGCAGGTTAGGTATGGTGACGTGCCAAGGGGAGACTTTTTTTTTAGTTTTCCTTCCTCTTCGCGCCTTCCGACTAGACCAGTAAAGAATTAGGGATACCACTGTTAGCATAAATAAGATATTGAATTAAATCTTGATGCAGGTCAGGAAATTTAAAATGATCTGGCCACTAAAAAGTCTCTTATCTCGGCTGAGGGGACTTGGTGTTGTTCCCCTCTGAATAATTTCTTTTACACTGATGATTATTTTCAGAGTTTTCGCTTTAGTACCTTTAATATAATACATACATTTATGTAATCAACAGTGTACACACCTCGCCGAATGAATGATACTGGATCACAAATATTTCGCTCCGGTTTACAAACTAGTCTTCACATTGTGATTATTTATAGCGTACATATTCACGATACGTGGAGAAGCTGAAAAACATTCTCGGTGTTGCTATCTTAATCTATAATAGTTCGCTTGTTATTGTTGTGCCTGTTGAAATGAAATGAACTATCTCCGCACTTATATAGGAATTCAACTTCTTCATTGCCTGAGCACAGTTTTTTTTATGTCATGTGTATAATTTCTTGCTTAGTTCGTGGTAAAATTTTGCTAATTTTAATGGCTTTACCTAATTCTAGTAATTGCTACTGCTACTATCTGCTGCAACTCGTTTCATGCGACGTGAGCTGAAGTCTACGGTCCCGAGACCATCACAAAATAAAAGTGATTATTAAATGTCTTTCATCAGTGATTAATTAGATGTGTCTGTATGCTAGGGTGTGGTGCTGATGCTGACTGCTGGGGAGGATATGGGGCCTGGCGTGCTGCTCCTCACTGGTCCCCAGCACCTCATCCGCCTCCTGGGCCCCAGGTGATAATTGGCCTCCTGGGCCCCTGGTGATAATTGGCCTCCTGGGCCCTGGGCCCCTGGTGATAATTGGCCTCCTGGGCCCTGGGCCCCTGGTGATAATTGACCTCCTGGGCCCCAGGTGATAATTGGCCTTCTGGTCCCCAGCACATCATCCGCTTCCTGGACCCCAGGCGATAATTGGCCTCCTGGGCCCCAGGTGGTAATTGGCCTCCTGGGCCCCAAGTTATAATTGGCTTTCTGGTTCCCTGGTGATCGTGTCGATCGCTGCTGCAATCGAAGGACAAATTGGAAGGGGCTGTGATTGTCATGGAGCCGTAATTTCAGAAATCGTTACGAGTTTGTAACTTCAGCCAATCACTGACGACTTTTCAAGCTCAATCCACCAATCACTGACGAGAAATTGACCGCTGCGTGTTCTTAAGCTGCTACGTTTAGTTCAGCGAATGACGATAATACAGCAATTGGGCGCTTGCTGTCCATTGGATTGTGCAGGGAGTCTCGTCAGATGCGGATGAGGGATAGAAATGATGTCATACAGCATATCTGGCGCTTGCTTAACATAAAGAAATTAGCCAAGAGTATACATTTTAGCGACTTCAAATTGATGTCGAATAAGTGCTATGTTATGCATGGTAGACATAGGTGGCCGTGATGTTCACCTTCCAGAAATAACAGAAAATTAACTGTTCCAATAATAATTAATATATTTAAATGGGAAAAAACTATGAATATGCCACGAATAGATGATTACATGTTCACGAGGGCCTCTAGTGCTGGACTAAAAAGTCTTTTCCAACTCAATCCCGTGAATTTTCTGCAAAGGATGCCGAGTGAAGCCTATTGCATGCTGGGAATTTATCTTTCGAAGTATTTTCTCGATTTATCCAAAAAATCTCAAGATTATAAACTTCATATCATTGTGTGGTAATTATTTATATTTTTGAACATCGCACAGGTTGTGCGAGGTTTTGGAGGGCCGCGGCGGTGGCAAGACGCGATTCTCTGCCCGAGTGTCAGCCCTCCACCGCCGGGCTGCTGCTGCTGACGCTGCTCTGCACCTGCTGACTCAGCGCTGCACCTGCTGACTCAGCGCTGCACATGCTGACGGAGCACTGCACCTGCTGACTCAGGCTGCACCTGCTGACACAACACTGCACCTGCTGACCGAGCACTTCACCTGCTGACGCAGCACTTCACCTGCTGACGCAGCACTTCACCTGCTGACGCAGCACTTCACCTGCTGACGCAGCACTTCACCTGCCGACTCAGAGCTTCACCTGCTGATTCAGCACTCAACTCCATCACATTTACGTTGAATTTTCCTCCTCACAAGAAGCTCGTGTTACTGTACTTGACACAAAACGCGTCGAAATTTTCTTGTAACCGTGCAAAGTTTCGTTGAATACAAAGGTCTGCACCGTGTATAACCAAACTGTGCTCACTGATCATATGTATGTGAAGTCATCTTGATGCTCCATCTTGTTATACGGATAGTGTTCTGTCTATTCCGATCACTTCAAGTCCAAACAAAACATGTTCTATTTTTTTTTTATCACTTGGAATCTAGGCAGGGTGGCCCAGTGGTTACAGTTCAGAGTACCAAGATTGGCGCAGAGAGGCGCGGGTTCGATCCCAGCTCTGTGCGCCAGTTTCTGGTCAGAATCGGCGAGGAGGCCGGGCGGTTAAGCACAGCAGAATTGAAGCAGTGAGTTGCGAGTTCGAGACCGCAACAAGCTGTGTGTGATGTTAAGAATCGGCGGCAGGCCTACGGCCTAATAAATGCTGAATCTGCTATTATTTCTTATAATAGACTTGAGGTCCGCTACCTCCCAGCTACTGTGGACTTTTCCCATTCATTTGGAAAATCTCCACCGGTAGAGCTTGTACTGGGCGAACAAGACCTGGTCAGGCAACTGATTTAGATAGCTGAAATAATTGTTGTGATTTGTTTAATAAACTGTATGTAGTGTAATTTACATATATTAGTAAAACGCCAAACTTTATTCACTGAAGTATGCCCTTGTTATCTTGTTAGGTAACAAGGGCATTGACAAAGGCTGACACAGAAGGTTAATAATAAGAGATCTATGTTGAATTTTTGTTTGATATCTGGACCTGATTCCGAATTAATACCGAGGTTAATTTATTTTGAATAAATGCAGACTCAAAGGACAGTTAGCTGTGTACATACGCACTGATATGCAAAAAATTATACTCGAAATTCGAGCATATTTCAATTTGGATTCTAACCTGATTTTTGTCGTTATTGATAGAAGTTAACACAATTATTAACAGTAGTGAAAGTAGAGGTTTATCAAGATCAGGTAGCCTTGCTGAAGATTAAATCTGTTTATTTTGACGTTTGAATTCTTTTTTAGCGTCATTTCGCGCCCACCCCACGTTACAATTTCAGTTTTCTGATGCCTTAAAGAAGTGCTTATACACCGACAGGGATTAAAGAGAAGTTCTTATAAACAGAGGGATTAAAGAGAAGTGCTTATAAACAGAGGGATTAAAGAGAAGTGCTCATAAACGGAGGGATTGAAGAGAAGTGCTTATGCACGAGGGGGATTAAAGAGAAGTGCTTATAAACAGAAGTATTAAAGAGAAGTGCTTTTAAACAGAGGGATTAAAGAGAAGTGGTTATAAACAGGGAATAAAGAGAAGTGCTTATACACTGAGACTATGCTTGTCAGAAGTCCTGTGGGATTTCGCGCTCCTAGGGGGATTGTTCCTGAGCGCCCCACCGCTGAGCTCGCGGTGTCTGACTGCAGGTCTCAGTTGTGGGGTTAAGTTATTATGAGGTAGGATACCGTACATTCAGTCATTATGTAGGTAGGACTCCTTACATTAAGTTATTATGTAGGTAGGATTCCTTACATTTCCCTTCTCTGTGTCTCTCGTGCGGGTGGCCGACGCCCCGTGTAAGCGACCTCCTGTTCGAGTGTCTTCGTTTCTGTTGCTTTTCACCTGTCCCTCCTTGTCACTTCGTCTCTTTGAGATGCTAACGCTGCTTCTTTCGAGCCAGCTTCAGCGGGCTGGACAATTGAGACCTTCCGCCCCTTGTGGGTGATGAATGATTTTTCGATTTAAGAAACTTTCGATAACTGAGACCTTCCACCTCTTTGGTGATGTTCATCTTGACTTTCGGTGCGAGATAGCTGAAGCGCTAGTAAACATTTGGCCACTAAACTAACTTATACACTGAGAGGGATTAAAGAGAAGTGCTGATAATTAGAAGGATTAAAGAGAAGTGCTTATAAACTGAGGTATTAAAGAGAAGTGCTTATTCACCGAGAGGGATTAAAGAGAAGTGCTTAGAAACTGAGGTATTAAAGAGAAGTGCTTATTCACCGAGAGGGATTAAAGAGAAGTGCTTATAAACTGAGGTATTAAAGAGAAGTGCTTATTCACCGAGAGGGATTAAAGAGAAGTGCTTAGAAACTGAGGTATTAAAGAGAAGTGCTTATTCACCGAGAGGGATTAAAGAGAAGTGCTTAGAAACTGAGGTATTAAAGAGAAGTGCTTATTCACCGAGAGGGATTAAAGAGAAGTGCTTAGAAACTGAGGTATTAAAGAGAAGTGCTTATTCACCGAGAGGGATTAAAGAGAAGTGCTTAGAAACTGAGGTATTAAAGAGAAGTGCTTATTCACCGAGAGGGATTAAAGAGAAGTGCTTAGAAACTGAGGTATTAAAGAGAAGTGCTTATTCACCGAGAGGGATTAAAGAGAAGTGCTTAGAAACTGAGGTATTAAAGAGAAGTGCTTATTCACCGAGAGGGATTAAAGAGAAGTGCTTAGAAACTGAGGTATTAAAGAGAAGTGCTTATTCACCGAGAGGGATTAAAGAGAAGTGCTTAGAAACTGAGGTATTAAAGAGAAGTGCTTATTCACCGAGAGGGATTAAAGAGAAGTGCTTAGAAACTGAGGTATTAAAGAGAAGTGCTTATTCACCGAGANACTGCAACGGGTAACATTTTCGTCTTCTTTGTCCATAAATCTGGAGATACATTGCCACATCGAGAGATCACAACCTAACGCCAACTCGCAGGTTGGGTTGGTTCGCCCAGGTTCCTTTTAGATCAAAATGCTATCTAAAAAAAGGAACTTGGCTGACTTAACCCAACCTAAGAGCTTTTTGTAAAATTTCGATGAACAATCCGACCCTTTATATAAAGGTGAGTGGGTAACGTAAGTTACGTAACCCCCATGTTAGTAAATAAAGGTGAGTGGGTAACGTAAGTTACGTAACCCCCATGTTAGTAAGTCGCGAAAAAAATCGGTTTTCCGATGCCGACCGCCAAAAATGGATTTCAGATTCGTAATCTACATCCCAAAAAACATATAATTAGAAAAAAAACACCCTTTTTTTTGGATGTAGTTAATCTGCAATAATACCGTTTTTTTAGACACTCCCTCAAGACTCAAGTTCATTTTTGAGTCCTATAAGTAGACCAGTAAAGTATCCTGGATACCAGCTTCATCATACATAAGAAATTGGTTTAAATCTTGGGTAAATGAGGAAATTAAAAATGAACTGATTCTAAAAAATCTCTGGTTTGTCACTATGAATTTCCACATCATCACATGCACAGCCTCACAGGTGATTATTGCTCATTCACAGGTGGCTTTAGCCCGATTTTTCATACTAGTGTTGTATTATTATAGCAGTTTCAGCGTTTAGTAGGCTGTAGGCCTGTCACCGATTCCTAACATTGCAGAACATTCACAGTATTTAAGCGATCTCAAACTTGCAAGTCGCAACTCACTGGTCACTGCTAGCTACAATTCTGCAGTAGCTGAATCGCCCTGCCTCCTTGCCTATTCTGACCAGAAACTGACTACTGAGGCACAGAGCCAGGATCAAACCCACACCTCTCTGCTCCAATCCTGGTACCTACTCTGAACTTTAACCACTGGGCCACCCTGTGACCCTGTTATTATATTGCTCTGTCCTGTCAACTCCAAGAAAATGGCAACTTGCTTTGACTCACTGCTTTGACAATTGACACTTGTTTAGTCATACTTTATTCTGAATATAAAATCTCAAAAAATACTTAAATTATGCATTACTTATTAAAATTTAACTCTAAATTAATGTAAGAATTTATGGTGACTATTGTCTTTGATATAAAATTAAATTTTTTGAATTCCTAACTTCAGTTGGTCAGACTCAGAAGCCCTGTCTCCTGTCACTAACTCTAACCAAGCATGGAAAACTTCTACCATTAGCCTTAGGGCTGCAACTAGAGCTTTCCCGTGGCCCTGCCATTTCCAGAACCATGCAATTTCCGCCAGATGAATTAACTGCTATCTAATTGTTAACAAAAGTGCAGGATCGGGCCGCAAGATTCCAAATGCATTGAAAATTTGTCCAGTTGGAGCTGCCAGATTTCAGAAACAAGTAGGAAAATTCCAATTCTGCCAGTGCACTGCAGCTATCAATATCCAGCAGCGGCTGCCAGCCTGCTGCTGCCCAATCACCATTGCGTTCAGGCTCAGCTGTCTGTGTTACATTTCCAGCTATACTATAGATACAACACTGGGCAACAAATAAGTTTTTGAATAACATATCAGACAAGGAAATGTTCAAAATGAGCTGATGAATCCAACGTGACAAATTTTTAATACTATTGGAATCTTGAGGCCTGATTGTGCATTTTTTTGTGTATCCTTTGGCCCTAATGTGATTCCTTAAGTTTACAGGATAAATTTTGACTGATCATCATTTTACCAAAGATTAATTTTTAATTGATGACTGATAGCAGATACCACATTTATCTCCCAGCTTGTCACTAAAAATCATGTAATACTAGTCAGAACCAACTTGATTGTGGGCTTGGCTAATAAGGGGTTTATTTGTATATATATGTATTTTCAGGGTTCAAATCAAGTTCAAGTGTGATAAGTTCTAAGCTTTTTGAATCTTGCTGGAAAGTTGTGTTTCGGTTTTGTTCACTTAGTAATAGATTGTTTCAATTAAAGGTCAGCAACTTGAGTGCTGTGGCAATGTTAGCAGCTCTGATGGCAGATGAAATAATTTTTAAATTAATATTTAATTTATCTTTATAGGGTTTTTTTATTCAATCAATTTCTCAACAGACTTGTCAATGCTAGACTGAGCAAGTCTTAAGTACACCTGGCATTGGTGCAGCAATGGATACAAAAAATGTAAGTTATTTTATCTCGTAATAAATGTATGGTTGAAACCAGCCTAAAGATAATGTTTTTGGGTGATATTAAGCCTAGCCAAAGAGCTTGATTGATGATTGAAAATTTATGCTCTTTCTGCATTTTTAAGTAGACAGATGTAGCAATATATATTTAATTATTTGAGGTAATGATATTGAATTGGATTGAATTTTATATTGTAACGCCTTGAATTTACATGCTTAAATTTGAATTATATGAAAAAAATACTAGCATAGTGACCAAATTTAATAAATTTTTCAAATTTAATTTACTATTCCAGTATGCAAAATTTTGAAAAACAAGTACAAGTAAATATATTTCATAACTGTTAATATTTTATTGTACCAGTTTTAGAAACTAAATTTCTGCATATTTCTATGCTTGCATGCAAAATGGTTGTTTCCATCAAGCCATCATGACATAATATATATTGCACATTAAGTTAAAGGATTTTTGATGGCTGATACTAATATTTATGATCACAGGGCAGTGCTGTTTCATCTTCCATCTCAAGTGCCCCATTGCCTTTGCAAAGCCACCAGAGGCAGCACAATAACGCTGCCCTTGGAAGCGCCCGGAGACAGGCTCCCCTGCAGCCTGCTGCTGCTGCTGCTGCTGCTCCCTGCTCCAGGATCTGTGAGTTTCAAGAAAAAACTTACTCCTCTAAATTTTCTGTTTCTCATTGCTTGTTCTTTCCATTGAATGGGATTATATTGTAAAAATTCATGCAGTTGATATGCCTACACATTATTCCTTGTCTGAGAAAGGTGAACTTTTATTGTTTTTTTTTTCTGGGTTGATTAGGTTGTTATAAGTACCTAGTTATAATTTTTAACCTGAACATTTGTGTTGAAATTTAGGTGTATTATCTTAATATTCATTTCAATCTCATTGGAATTGAATAATCTTGATTCCATTCTTTACATAATAATTTCAATTTTTCATTACATTATAATTTATTTTCACATTTATCTGCAGTGAAATCATCTAGCCCTCATGGTGATGTCCACCTCAGCACGAGCCAGCCAGTGACTTGCACCAGTTCAGCTCATGGTCAGGCACTTCAAAAATTTGTTGTTTTCATGAATCTGATATTGGGTTAAATTTATTAATTCTACCCAGATCAATTAAAACCAAACTTGATTATAAAGAAAAAGTATTAAATTAATAGTTATCTCCTAATTATTCTTTCATTAAAATTTAATGTGCTGATGAAACTTTAATTGTTAAACTCCTTGAGTTTAGGTCTTGCCTAGAAATCTATTTGCATGTAAGTAGTTGCAGGGATTGGTGAATAGAAGAAGTTGATTTGAAGACTCCATGATCAATTTTTTATATATACAGTAAATCTTTCCTCTTCATTCAATAATTATTTTCTATACATGTATTTATTCCTTTCAATGGCTAAGTGGTCACAGGATTCTCTTCTGATTACATTTCTTTTGTCTGATTCTGAACACTATTAGTAATTATTAAGCAAATTATTGAATCCAAAGAGCTAAACAGCACCTTCAAATAAGGTACTGTAATGAATTATGTCCTCCAAATCAGATCAAAGTTTATTACGTACTTTTCATCAAATTCATCATTGCTAAAACCCTTCTGTCAATCATGCATGTTTTCTTATAATCCCTGCAACTTGGAAGTGCAATGTGTAAGGTAAGAATTATCTCTTGTCTTCTCTCTGTGAGATTTCTTCTTTTAATTTGTTTAATTCAAGACCTATACTTTTCAGCCAGAAGCAAAATGCGCAAAAATCTAGAAAACTAATTATCAAGTTAGTGACGAGCATGAAAACCACAAAATCCATTATTTAGATATTTCTGTCGGCTTTGCTTCATTCAACTTACCCTCTAATATCTCTCACCATTTTCTTATATCACAACTTTCCCTGTTGTTCTAATTGTTTACATCTTTATCTTTTAATAATTCACTACTTTCATTGCATTGGTTCAGCCTTTATTTAGTATTTAATTGGACCTAAATTAATGGATTAAGCTTTTTTATATCTGAATAATTATTATAATCCTGTTATTTAATTATATGTGATAAATTTGCACTTTTAGGTCTGACTCAGCTCACTATGCCTGGTATTTACATCATATAATACTTTTAATGTTATAATTATGAATGATTTTGAAAAGTCATTTTCTCACTGATCATTTGGAGATAACCCAGCACTTCTTTCCTCTGTAGCTATCACATTCTTTTCTATTTTTCCCTATTGTACTTCACATACAATCCTAGTACTCTCAATCTTTTAGCAGACAAGTTGCTATTCAATTCATGTAACTTAAATTCTCTGACCAATACATTTTTTTCTTATTAATATATATATTTTTTGAGGCTACATTGCCATACCGTTTTTGTCAACCAATAATCCGCTCATTGTTTTATACAAGGCAAGTCCTCTGAATGGCTCAATAATTACCATATGAACTTTTATGTATGTAAAGCAGAGGCTCAGACGCCAGAATTAATACTCTTCTGCATTTTTCTGTCGTGATAGAAGTGATATCTGTGCAGTTATTACCAATAATGATATGATATTGTCGCGGATTGAATATTTCATCAAATTTCCTCAATTTTTTTGCAATTGCTGGAAATGAATTTTGCGTAATATCAAATGTTTTATAGGTAGAATTGTCAGATTTTATAAATTTTTAAATTGCAAATTTTACCATTAATAACGAATTCATTAGAATATGTAAATATATCTTGAAATTAACCCTAATTTTTGTGCTAGCCTCAGAAATTTGAATTTGTGTGGATTTAAATATCTGCATGCCAAAGGGTTCGTCTTGTGAAACTATTGAATACTTTTGTTTTAAAATTGATTTTCGCATGTGAAGCTTGGAATTATATTGAGTAGGTATTAAAAGACATTCATAGAAGATATGTTTTGTTGCTTATCTTTTAATATTATTTCTCAGCACTAACAAGGCTTATATTTGTTTTATATTTTGTAACATATGTTGTCACATTTTAGAATAAAGTTTGTTCTGGATTGCAGGTCGCGTGGATACGATTATATCCAGGCTGGATGGAGCAACAACTCCAGAGAAAATAGAGCTAAGTCTACTCAAGGCCGCCAGCCCACACCAGCCATCAGTCACTTCGTCCACTTCATGCTGTGCGGCTCAAAATACAAACAGGCTTCCCTGCATCCCCACCACATACATCAGCAACTCGCCTGCAAACTCAGGAAAAAAATCAGCCATGATGCGGTCTGTTGCTCCTTCAACTGATGCGTCTGCTGGCGTGGATACATACACTACCCAGAAACTTTTGAGTTCACGGACCAAGGATTTGTCCGATAATGCAACTAAATTATCAACTAGCCCTCAGGCACATTCATCAGCGAGTCAAATGAAAAATAAAAATCCTGTTGTTGGGGAAATTACCTGTACGAACATTGATCTGTGTCAGAATTCAGGCAACTCGAATTTAGCTTATCAAGATAGTGCAAGAAAAGCTGGATCTTTTTCACAGACTGGGAATATTTCTCCATTTGCTTTTGAATGGAGGTTTGATCGAAAATATCCTCCTTCTACCGATAATTCATGTCCAGTCTTCAATGAGAATGATTCTTTAGAGTCTTTGTGTATTCAAAAAGGTAGTGTTGCTGATGTCACAAGTTTTAAGAAGAACCAAATTATCATATCAAATGTTACCCCCTGCGATGAAGCGGAAGAAAATGAAATCAGGCCCCTGAAAGGGGCCAGTGAAACAGCCGCTTCTCCAGTGGTAGCACCTGAGTCTTTGAGGCAGCCATATTATTCTATAACTCAATGTCAAGAATCATTTACGACTAGTACTCCAACTGAGGCAATAAGGCCTCAATCGTTGCAGTCCAACATTATTGTACACATTAAACCTGAAGCCATTTCTTCTGTAGCCCCTCGGAATCCTCACACGGCTCTTCAAATGGAATTTGGAAATCGAGGTTCTTCCAAAATTGTTTCTGATGCGCAAGAAACCTCCCCAAACCTAGAAATGGCAAACTCTAGTAACGTTCCAGCCGACATACGTATAAATATGCCGGAAAATTCACCAGCAAAGGATAAAGATTGCAATGCAGTGCAGAAAAAACCAACATCATTTTTAACGGAGCTTCTGTCCCATTCGTCGAGTCGGCGCTCATCAAAAACATCAAATAGTTTACTGAAGTTTTGGGTTGGAAATAAATTAAAGAACAAGAAACAGGAATTTGGCTCTACCATTGCAATGGCGGGTTCGAACAGCTCAAATAGCGACTCTAATGCATCAGAGATGTCAGAGAAGTCCAGTTTGACTCAGGGACTGCTTCACGATGCTCCCAGGAGTGGCCAATTTCCTACTGGTCGTCTGGAGAGCAACACCAGCACTTTAGGGTGTGGAGAGACGTGCAGTTTGCTGGCCACTGCCCCTCCGGCCCAATCTCACTCCAGCTGGTATGCAGGAAAATTTCGTTGGCTTAAAGGATCAGTGCACTCTCGTTCTGGTCAAACTACACCTAGCGTTCCTGATCAGCCACCAGCGCCTTGCAACCCTGAGCCCCCTATGGTGCCAGACGCGGACCAGGACGACGACGAGGCTTGGTTTGATAGCGTAACGAAGCTCAATGAGGAGTGGTTCAAACCCGGCGCCGTCACGCTATTGTCCTCCGACAACGTCGCCCCAGGAACTTTCCTCCTGGACCGCGGCGCGACCGCTGGTATCATCGATACCCCCGTCGGCAAATCTGACATCGCCGCCTTGCGCAGCGGTGTGCTGTTTGACGCCGGTCATGGGTATCGTGATAACCAGCGAACGCTCTCTTCTGCGCACAATTCCACCACGACTGACCTGCTACACTTCAAAGCAAAACAGCTGACATCCAATAGCAGCCTTGGTAGTCTCTCCTCCCCTCCGAATAAATCTGCTGCTAGGGCAAACGCCTCATCTCCAGAGCTCGTATCTCTGAGCAGTCATCCAAGGGGGCTTAGTGATGGCTACAATTACAGACCTCTTGTTAGTGCTTCTATCGCCTCCAGCAATGCAAACAAGTCGCTCGGGTCAGGACTCGCCAATAACAGAGGCAACAATAACATCCCCCTACGCAAACTGGTCCACATCAGAGCCGGTCTGCGAAGACCGCATTTGCAGAGGCGCTCCCACGCAAGTCTTATCAAAACCAACATTGATGGTAATGCGAGAGTTACGTTACATGCCTCATCACGATGCTAGTAATTGTTAAAGTTCAGTAATTGTTTCATAATACAAGATATTCTAAGAGTGTTAATGCACTAATTTGCTTTCAGAGCTTCATTTGCTCACAAAGCCTTCAAAGGTTCGTGAATGTATTTCCTTGAAGAATCTAGTGGCAACTTCATACATAGCAACTTTACATTGCCATGAATGAATTATTCCTGACAAAAAAGGAAAAACATTTACATAAAAAGTTCAGTCGAGTGTTACACGAATAAGTCGCTAAAAGATTGTTAGGGAAGAATGAGAGTTAATTATGAATTATTGAATGCTTGAATTATTTCAGATGCTGGTGCCGTGAAAGAGATAGAGGCTGGGCTGCTGCATCTCATGGAGGAGTTCCAGGCTGGGAAACTCACTGCTTTCGGTGGGTGTATCTTGCCATGTCCTGTCTCTTTGTGATCCTTTTGATCACCTGTTTGTGATCAAGCACTACTTTGATGTGATCCTTTTGTTCACCTATTTGTGATCGGTGCACTAATTTAAAGTGATCTTTTTGATCACCTATTTGTGATCGGGCACCACTTTGATGTGATCCTTTTGATCACCTATTTGTGATCGGGCACCACTTTGATGTGATCCTTTTGATCACCTATTTGTGATCGGTGCTCTAATATAAAGTGATCTTTTTAATCGCCTATTTGTGATCGGGCACCACCGACACAGTCGTCTTGTACCACACCACAATTCCTACTAAATAATAGCCGCTCATGTGTGGTGTTATTTGTCTTTAATCGTATTTGATACGCTAACAGTTCGCGCATTAAGTAAGCGTACCATTTGAGCTCGAAGATACAATGCAATACTAATATTAGTGTTACGTTCATCCCTGTTATAATTGCTACGGTCGTTTGTTAAGCCGGTGCAATCGCACACAAGGGCAACATTTTGTGAGAAAAAACTTTGGTTGTGAGTAAAAAATGTTGAAGATTTATCCAAAATTCAAGACTCCATTGCTCAGTAATGGCTGATGGTGTTGGGCAGGAAATGACCGACGGCGACGTCAGATGGAGGCCATCAGAGAGCAACAGGAGAGCCTCGCTAGACTTCACCAGGAGGTCGGAGGCTCTCAGGTTAGATTTACTTAGAAATGAGTTACTAAAATATAAATATTACCATAAAGTTAATAAGGGTTACTTACAGCAACTCATACCTTGTTGTACTTATTTATATAAACTCTCTATTGAGAGTCCCTAATGTTTCATTGCTTGAGATGCACTGGTATATAATCAATATTTTGGTTTTTCAATTCCCTCTTTATTACAAAATATTAGTCGTTTTAGCTGACTGCAATTCTGTTCTGAATAATAATGCTATGGATCAACCTCCCTATGTTAACGAAGAGTGTCTTATTTAACTGAGAATTAAAGTATTTTCTAATAGAACCCATTTGTGTTGTGGGTGCTAGGATAAGTACTAAAGCATACTAGAATTATAATGCATACTAGAATTGGTAACCTTCAACTAGAATTGTTTTCGATTCAGCTTATAACTTAATCTTGTGATTATGATCAGCCATTATAGGCTACATGGTCGATTATTTTGAACGAATGGTTATTAGTTTCGCATTGATGAATTTTTTTGTTTAGGACTTGGATCAACCGTTGTCTGCGGAGGCTTTGGAGATCAATACCGAGCATATGTCAACTCTGATGGAAAAGCTCGCCTGTCTGTCTGTTGCCATCGAGAAGCTCGAGAACAACACGGCTTTTGATCACCGCACCTCCGCCGCCCAGCCTTCGGTGAGCGACGCCCAAGTGGGCGCTGCGGGCAATCCTCAACTCCACAGACGCGGCCCCGCAGACACTGCAGTAGTGGACACTCCCGACAGCGCTGAGCCCGGCGTGGAGGGCGCCAGCGAGGAATTTGAAGGCGTTGTGCTACGCAAGAAAGGAGCTTCCGCGTTGCTCCAGAAAAGCCTGAGTCTTGGTAGGAATGCCAGTTCCGGTGACATAGAACTCAGTAAAATCAAGAAACGCACTTCTTCTGTGGTGCGTTCTAGCAGTCAGAAGCACTACGATCATCGAGCCGTAGATGTGGCGGCTGAGAACAACAGCTCAATTGATCCTGGGGCCACGGACGATCAAAATGCTAAAGCTCCTGGACGGCCGGCATCAGTTCATGCGTTAGGATCAAGCGAAGCTTCCTCTGACCAAGTCATTGATAGTTCCCAGCACCGTCATCGTCATCACCACCGCCATCGTCATAGTCATGAATACCAAAAGGTTCATCACCACAAGAAGGGCAGCAACGAAATCAGGGAAGCCTCACCTAACAGAAAAATGGATGTGCGCTCAGTTCTTCCTACTGACCACACGATCGGACCCAACGCTGAATCTACAGAAATGCGTGTATTTGATGCACCAAATTTGGGACCGCCTCTTGTACGGCCTCCAGCTGTGCCTGCTAGAACTAACCGACCTTTACCATCTCCCCTAACTCCTGCTAAACAGGGGTCCCCGCTAGTGACGGCTTCTAGAAAATTGCCTTCTCCCGGACCCGTTCCTACACTTGCCCCAAGCGTTCAATCTTTTCCTCAAAGAACTATTAACCCCAGCGCCTCATATTACCACCCTCCCCCTGCTATAGTACCCACATCTGGTGCAGCAATGGTTACTCCCTCGCAGGCAAGTACTACTACTGCAACAGTCAGCATGTATCCTTACCCTCACTCTAAGTCTGCGTCGCCGAACCCCGTCCTTCAAAGTGACTCCCCAATCACACCGTCGCATTTTCGTAACCAAACCTCAGCCGATGGCGCATCCGCCAGAGCCGCAACAGCGTTCCATTCGTCCGTTGTAAACCCTACGAGTCGCTCACAAACTCCTCAGAGTTTGAGTTCACGCAGCCACACACCTCACAGTTCGAGTTCCGTCACCCAAGGTTCGCTAACTTCAGGTTATCACGTCCAAACTCCGTTAATTATAAATTCTCGCTACCAAACCGGGCTTAGTTCTAGTTACGTCACCTCCACTCCTCGCGTCCAAACTCCTTTGGGCGAGAGCTCCCTCACCCACGTTCCCGTGAGCGTTTGCTCTTTAACCCAAACGAGCTCAAAGTGTCCCATAAATTCCAGCGCACTCACTCGTACCTCCATGACTTGCAAGTCCTCCAGCCCCGCGCTCGTGCCAACATATTCTTCTGCTTCCACACGCAGCGGCGTTTACTCTTCCACCAAACCTGCCACCGCAAAATTTGACATTTCCGATAAAAATTCTAAATGGTAACTTTCATACTAATCGCCTTGCTATTAGGTATTGGTCCATTATCGAAAAATCGGAGATTTTCGTCGTTTGTTCCAACGGAATGACTTTGAAAGCTGATTCATGTGCCAAATTGTCCTGCACGGTTACTCCAAAATTGCCGACGTAGACATCAGCTCTTTTCTCCCTTGGGCTCTTTAACTTTTCTCCTCTTTAACTGCAATGATCAACCTCATTTTTTTATGAATTAAATAAATTTATGTATTATTCAAGGATAAGTAGTAAATAACTATATATTTTTTGGTGGCTTGTCGAAGCAATTGACAAGCTGTGTGTACTTCCTAGCAGAAAAATAAAAAAATTTCCTCGTACAAATTTTTGTTTGAGTAATTAAATGATTTTTCGAAACATTTGCTTGCCAATAAAGAGAAACAGTATAGATAATAGGTTCTCTTTAGTTATAGAAATGTTGTGTGACAAACACTTACGCAATATCTCTCCAGCAATTATTCTTTGAGGGAAAGCGACGAGAGGTGTTAGCGACTTGTGCATCTGCTGAGGCTGTGACTTGTCTACTAGTTGCTTGCATTTCGTTCGTTTTTTTCTGTTCTGATATTATTCATAGCTTTAACTTATCTTAGTTTGCGTCTAACTCTGATAATATTTATACTGATTCCATGATTAGTTTATTTTCTGGAATTTTCTTGACAATTTTCATATCGTCATAAGTATATGCGCACTAGATACGCAGCTCTGAAAGAGCCGCGACTATAACTTTCATTCAACTTGTTGCTCGGGTGTTCGCTTGCTGTTTTCCCCGTTGATCTCTTCTTGGATCGCAAGATTCCTCATCGACCCCGGCATGAACAGAACAAAATCTTACACTAATTCTCAACACTCGACGGCAACACATTGACCAACTATTCATGTATCTCAGCGATCCCCCGATAAGGTAAACAATGATCCCCTAGTGGACAGCGATTCAAAATTCTTAAACTGTGGTGTGGGCTCGCGTGAATATACATTTTATTTATTATAGTATTGGATACCTTGTCGAGAGACTGCATAATTACTGCGAGGTGTGGGAATTGTTCAGTTATCCGCTGAGTTGCCAAACGTAGATGTCGGTAATACGAGGACTGTTCTGCTGATGTTCAGAACATGGACAACTTTCTTAATATGATTCCATAACATTGATGACGATGTCGTAACATGTGAGGGTAATATATTGTACTCCGAAGAGACCTTAAAAGACATCGCAGTTGAGCGCTGCATAATTTTAATTTATTACCTTCATCTGATGCTCAAACAACGCTTTAGTTACTGCATGGGGTAAGAAACTGGACGGCGATTTTTTCCAGAAATGTTCATACCGAGTCTACTTTTGTTGTCGAGATGCCTTGTGTTGTGATGTTCAGCGACTCCTTATAACCTGACGTGGCCCATTGATGCCGATTTTCATGTCTGACATGCATGGCCGCCTTGTGCTTGTCGTTGTTGAAAATTTGTTATGTTTTATTGAATATCTCGGCTGTGCTGAGCAGCTGGTGACTGGATAAGACAATATTTTCGCTACGTTTTTTTGTCAGTCTATTATATTGATCATGCTTGGATAAATAATTTTTTAGCGATAGATTTATTAAAATCTACCACAATTGCCTCAAATATTGTCGACTTTTCTTATCAATTCATATCCAAAATGTTCTAAGTACGACTGGGGAGATGAATTGCAATAAATTGTTTCTCGACAAGCGTTCGAAGGTTGCATGGTCCTGACAAGTTACGTCGAGAGCTGTGTTCTTTTTGGCAATTATGAAGGTGTTGAAGTTATTTATAGCTTATTATGTTCTTCCAAAATACTGGCTTTGTCAAGAATTATTGATAGGTCTTTTTGCACACGAGTTAACAAATTCAAATTGTATTTCCACTTAATTGCATTTTTAATTGCTTAAATCATAAATGCCATGATTTGTGCTTACAGATAGTAAGCGTGGCCTACATTTTTATGAAACGTGAAGAATTTAAGATTCGTTATTAATGCAGACTGCGTCGTGAAATGAACCGCATTTTGTGATACGTCTGAGGACGCTAGTGTAACCGCCAGTCGATAGCCTCAGTTGCTGTTATTATAATTATATTAGGATTTTCTTTGTTATTATTATGATTATATTATGAAATTCTAGTCATTGATCACTGAAGTGGAAATAAATATGCATTCCACTGCCCGATTTGATCTTTTATTACCTCGACTATTTGCACCTTGTAGCTTCTGTTTCGGGATTATTCAACAAATATTTTCCAAAAATAATAGTTTTTGATTTCCTAAACATTTCTTTTATTTATAGCGTCTGACATTACAAACGTGTAATATGCATTGAGGAAACGTTCTATTTGAGCTGTATTCGTCAGCTAATTTTTAATTTGTGTTTCAATATGAATTTATATTACTGGATCCTGCTCTTGATGGTATGATAACAAATGTCTTGTAGTTCACTCGATAAAAACATGTTTATATGGAAACTAGCTTTTTTGTATATATGCAAATCCTTATTAGGTATATCTTCTAACACTTTTTAGCAACCTCGACGATCAATATTATTGCGCGTCTAGGGAGCATATTGACGGGTTGCACAATATTTTACGCAAACCTCTATATTATTGCGCGTCTAGGGAGCATATTGACGGGTTGCACAATATATTGTGCAAACCTCTATATTATTGCGCGTCTAGGGAACTTATTGACGGGTTGCGCAACAATATATTACGCAGACGGGATAATGTCGGCGCCATCGTCGGACGCCTGCAGGGCCATGATTCCTCTTTTTTAAATGTATTATAAGTAAATTCAAAATGCAATCATAACGTAAGTATAGCAGATTCATCAGCCTGTTGACGCTGGCTACACAATAATGAAGATGAAGAAGTCGGTCGCAAGCCCACTGGTCATCCTACCTAATAAGGGCAGCTTGTTATTGACCAACTTCTCCTAACTTCACATAATACAGGGTTATTCTAAATCAGTGGTTCCTAAACTTTTTCAGGCTGGCGCCCTCTTTTGCTCCCTAATGAATTTCTAGCGCCCCCCACAGACACACGCCTCTTTCCTGAAATTTAGTACGTTGCAATTTTTAAATTTTTTGACTGCCAGAACGCTATAAGGCTGAGGTATCGTCCGGCTGGGGATCATACCACAGCAGCTGTATGTGGTGGCGCTGCATCTGTGCTCAGCCGAGGCCCTCAACAGCTCACTGACCTAGGGCTCCCGGTTTGTTATCGCCAGCCCATGCCAGCTTTTGATCCTGTTCCTCCTTGGATTTGTGCGGATCATCTTATATGTCTCGATTTTCGTTTTGTCTCTGGTTTAACTGACTCAACTGTCTTTTCTGCTCATGTTAGGGAATATTATCCTGGGTACAAGGCAATCTACTGTGATGGCTCACGATTGACAGACAATCCATCTACAGCATGTGGTTTATACATACCGGCACAAGCAAGAGGAGTTGCATGGAGGCTTAACCCCAGGCATGGCTGAATTGATTGTCAGCAGAATTGATTGTTATATTACATGCTATCCTGTCAGCTGAATTGATTGCTATATTACATTCTTTGAAGCTCGCTGTAAGTGAAGCATCCCTATACTGGGTTATTTTTTCTGACTCACTTGTGGCCTTGTAACTCATACTCTCCCCAACGGACACATCTTGCGATCTTGTATATCAAATTCGTCTGCTGCTCCTTGGCCTGAATGAGAGGAAAACAGTGCGCCTACAGTGGGTCAAGGCCCATGCTGACATTGTTGGGAATGAACGAGCTGATGCTGTTGCAAAGATGGGTCATACTCTTGACCATTCGGCGTTGTATCATCTCTCTTGTTCTGATGGCACTTGCTTTGCTTCGTTCTTGTTTTCTAAAGTCTTGTGAACTGGGCTGGATCGCTGCTTTGGCTGTTGAAGGGAAGGGACATCATCTTGCTTCTGTGCGGACTGATTTGTCTCCTGTTCCATGGGTCGCCAGTTGCTCTCGTTGTGCTGCTGTGGTGCTGACTCGTCTTCGATTGGGGGAGCGCAGCCGTGGGTAACAAAATTGACTCGTAAACAGGCCCTGGGCCCAACGCCAACCATCAGCATGCAATATTTACACATAGCCTCAGATCAATGAGCTGTGGGTAACTCCGGCTGACAGTAAATCCGCTTTGCACAACACAGCCACTGCTGTACAGCGCCGGAGCGCAACAGGCCCTACGGTACAACAGGCGGCGCAGGTTAGGTTACGTTAGGTGTAGCTGTTGCGGTAGGGCCAGTTGTGCTCCGGCCTTTATGCGCTCCGGCCTGTGACTGAACGGCGCTGTTGTGGTGGGCGCTTTGTGTCAAAAGCCGTGAAAATGCCCGGCTGCGTTACGCTCGGGAAGGTAAATGAATCGCACTGTGGACTTGGGCTATGCTGACCTCTAGCTATCCACCCTTCGATTGGGTCATGTTGGTGTTCGGTAGTAGGCCTACCTTCATCGATTTGACATGGCTGACACTCCCATGTGCTTGCATTGTGGGGTAGATCCGTGGATGATACCGTGGAGCATTTTTTCCTGGCATGCAGGCAGTACCGCCTGGAGCGTCAGGTGCTGATCGCTACTACTCGAGCCATGGGTGTGCACCATCTAACTGTTCGAATACTTCTTGGAGGCTGCAACTTCCGCAGAAAGATTCAACATGCAATAATAAGAGCAACAATCGCCCATTTAACACAAACAAATCGTCTGACTTCCCTGTAGTGCATTAGCAGTTTATCACCATCCTGGATTTACATGTGATCAAAACCGGAAGCCCAGCTAATATATCCTCCAAGGATCATTGACACATAAAGCTGAAACTTTCTGCTGAGTCCACGTTAACGAGTGGTCATCTTTCGGCTACTTCTTCACCTTCAGCCGGCAACAAAAACACACAACTACAATATCATGCTACATTACTATTCTAAGAGTGATCTCCTGTGTAACCCGAATTATCTAGTCATTGATCGCCGAATCCAGCATTCGATGTAGATTAACAAATATTCAACGGAATAGTTGTTGGTTTTAAGTTTTTGATGATTTCTGATCTGTCGCTTTCATGATCGAAGTCCGAATGATCATTCCGGTTTAAGCTCCAATTTTATTGGTCCGAGTCCAAGGTTTAGTTAGCACCACTGCAGTAGTGCAGCAGGTACAGCAGGTGGTGGTTACGCCAGTCGCCCGATCCATCATCATCATCCATGGACATTATGACATGCCATTGGGCATTGACAACAACCTTGTCCAGTAAATGTCCACTGCAAGCTTCATATCAGCAGCCATGTAGCATTTCTTCTGTATCTGTAAGTGTAAGATTACAGGATGGTTTGTAATTTCGCACAATTTTAATTGAGTCAAGTGATTTCACTATAACAAAAAAGATCATGAAAAAACATGGCTGAAACGTGAAACAGAAAATAATGTTTTAGTGACAACCATCATATGTTTTGGAGTAAATAAATCATAGTTAAGTTTTTAATTACTTTTCATTCTATGATGCCTGGGCCCTGGTGCACAAACAGCACAATTCTAGGTATATAGGGTAAACCCGGGCCGGTATAGGGTAAACCTAGTCTGGAAAAGTCCTATTTTTGTCTAAAATATCGCGGCTCTAATATCATATAATTTCAGTAGGTATGAAATCTCGCGGCTCGAATGTCATAAATTTTTGTTTGATTAAAAAATCGCAAAAAAAACACAGAAAACTGGAAACACTTTAAATTCCTAAAACTTTCGTCTAATATATTATTTATCCAAAAACTGTCTTGAAATTAAACCAAAATAATATAAACGATCATTTTTTGTAATTTTTGTGCAAAATAATGACGCACATAAAAACAAGTTTAGGTAGGTTATGTATAGACTATTCAAGCTGATGTCGAAGCCAGTAAATGTAAATGTGATGTCGAAGCCAGTAAATTCGATTCCAAGTAAACCTAGATCATCAAAAAAAATTATTCCTAAAGTTGTATTATTAAAATGCTCTTTTGAGGGATTAATTGCTCAATTAAAAAGATATACATTTTTTATATAAATAAGTAAGTTATATTCGAATTTATTATCATTAAATTTCTCTCAACACAACAAGCTCAAGCCGTGACAGAGAGTTTGAATGAGATAAGGAGTTCCTGACTGTTCTTGTTGAAGTTGTTGATTCCAACAGGCAACGGCATGCCGAATTTGCAGTAAGTACTAATTATAAATTTGAATTTCTTTCATTTCCATAACAAAAACGTGTCGTGCATGATTTCGTCATTAAAGTAAAATAAAAATACGTTATATGTGTAAGCATCGCAATTATGATTGATCTGATGGTAATTCATGGTGGTTCATCAACATCGGAGTGATCGGACAGCCGGCAGTAGCAACTAGCAAGGGCGTTTACTTGAATTAGACCTATGAAAAAGATGGCGACCCTTAGCCTTCTTGTCATTTTCGTAATTTCGTGTACGTGTAAAAATAGGAATCCATTTCACTTTCATTGCCCATTTAATAAAAACGATCATGAAGAAGGATTTTGAAATTTGAATTATTGTAAAATTATAGAGCTAATTATTTGTTACCATTTAAATTTTAAATGGCTGGGCGCTGCCGACGCCGAGTGCCGGCTGTCTGTGGTCAGTCGTCAGTACTCAGTGGTCACTAATTGACAATTTGACACTAAATCTGTCTTATTAAGTTAGTAAGATAATCCATTGTGTATTTTGAAATTAATTAATCTTAATTCTTAATTGAAAAATATTTCTTTGAGACTTTGAGACTGAGTTTCACTTTCAGACTTTCAGCCATGCAGCTTGCAGGCCATGCTGATGCTGCCATTGTGCCATGGCAATTTCCTTATGGAATTAAAAAGATTACTTGCAAAACAAGTTGCTTGCATTTAATATTAAGAACAATCCTAAAGATTTATTTTGAAATTTGAATTATTGATAGTGCATACTCATACTTTATAAATAATTTTTTGTTACTATTTAAATTTTAAATGGCTGCCGCCTGCCGACCCTGGCCCCTTTGCCTTGGCGAAGAAATATATACTAAATTTTGCTTTGATTTAACTCTTGATTTATCTTCATTGTTGCAGAATCTTGCTTGATGTTTTTTTTTATCTTAACCATTTCTATTTTTGTGGAATTCCTCTTCATCTTGCCTTGAGGCTTGATATTTGATTACATTTATTTTCCTGATCCTTTTTCAGTTTTTCAATTGCATCAGAATTTTAAATCTATAAATATCACTCATTGAGGTCATTGTTGTCTGTGGATTTGTGGCAATTATTCTGTTTGGGCTTTCTGTTAAACTAAAAGTGTGATATTAATATGTTGACATGCTACGTCAAACTATGTATTATGTGGTTATTGACATAACTCTTTTGCAGGTGAGCCGCAGGCAAGAGGATTTATACTGCAGGCAAGAGGTTACCGCTTGTCTCATTGCCGTCATTGAAGAATAAAGGTGCCCGCGCCCACCTTCACGCATGGCTACTCAATTGTCAAGCGTCACAAGTATCTGCAACGTGCATCTAGCAAGCAACGAGGTAAAATGGAATTGTTTTGCAATGAAATAGCGATATGCTGCGTTAGTTTATTCAATGACCTCATTGAGGTCATTGTTGTCTGTGGATTTGTGGCAAAAGCTGGCAGTTATTCTGCTTGGGCTTTGCACTCTGGTGTCTGGTCAGTGGTAACTAAATCTGTCTTACTATTTACTTAGTAAGATAATCAATTGTGCTTTTTGGAATTAATTAATCTTAGTTTTTAATTGAAAATTTGTTCTTTGACTTTGAGTTTCAGCCTGGCAGCCATGGCCATTTCCATTTACAAAGATGTTCATTCTTAATCCTTTGTTTGTTCCTCACTCCTCAGGGCTCAGGTCATCTTTCTTCTTCTAAAGACTAAAGCTGTTGCTGTAGCCTGTACATCATGGCTACTCCTACTCATCCCATACTTAAGTTGGCCTTCAAAAATGTTACTAGAATAGAATCAGTAGATTGTGTTTCATTCAATGCTAAATGTAACTTTTGTAAATTTGCTAATGTGAAAAGTGTGATATTAATATGTTGACATGCTATGTCAAACTATGTATTATGTGGTTATTGACATAACTCTTTTGCAGGTGAGGCGCAGGCAAGAGGAGTTACACCGTAGGCAAGAGGTCGCTCGTCTCATTGCCGTCATTGAAGAATAAAGGTGCGCGCGGCAACTTTCACGCACGGCAACTCGATCGTCAAGCTTCACAAGTACCTGCAACGTGCATCTAGCCAGCAATGAGGTAAAATGTAATTGGTTTGCAAT